TGCAGTGAGTGATAAACTCTAAACCTGTTAGCAGATAGCGTATGAGAACTATCTCTAAATAACAGGTGCTGTCTTATTCTTCCCTGCGTTGTTCCTCTTATGTTTCTACAAAGTTTATTGTATATTTTTAAAAAAATAAGTTGGAGATTTTTGGTACGAGGGATCGTCGGGAGGTTTTTTTTTTTTTTTTTTTTTCCTTTTATTTAGTAATTTTTATACTTGTTTTTAGTAAAAATTTTGAGTTTTTTAGTTTTTTTTTCTGCTCTAAAATTGGGCAAATAATCAATAAAAAGAGTATCTAAGAGTAGTAGCTGTTAGAATTCTCTTTTAAATTATACTTTTTGTTTATTTATTTATATATTAAACTAGATAGTATATAATTAATTAATTTATAAAATAACTGCTTATACTAAAAACAGAGTATAATTAAGTATATAGTTATATAGTATTTTAAGTTAGCTTTGTTTGCAAAATCTCTAACTTATAAATTTATAATAAATTTGAAAATAAATGTAGTAGCTAATATACTAGTTGAAAATTATAAAAATGGTACTAAATTATTAAACATTTAGTATACTAATCAGCAAACATTTAGCAAATATTTGTTAAATATTTAGTTACCAAATGTTTGCTGATTAGTATACTAAATGTTTGACAATTTAGTATTATTTTTATAATTTTTAACTAGTAATACTATTACAAGTGATATAGCTTTCTTAATATACTTTAAATAATATAAAACACAGAAAGAAGACTTCTAATAATATCAAAATAAAATATTACTTCACTATAGCAGTTCATTAGTGAAGTTTATTTTTTTTTTTATTTTTTATTTTTAAGATGATTTATATTGCTAGGTGATTTTTATTAATTTGATATATGAGGTCTCACATAGAGTTTTCTTACAGTTTTCAGTTATATGAAGAGTATACAACATGCTACATATACTACTTTAGTCATTGTCTAATTTAAGTAGTCTACTATGCAGGCGTTAGACTACCTGTTAGTACTATACTATGCTATCATACCTGTAACCTACCTGTGAGTTATCTATTTAAATACTCTGTTCAACTAACCTATTCCTGTTACAAACTAACATCACTGTAACACCTAACTGTATACGCCAGCTAGCTCGTTATGGATTCATTTCTCGATACTAGCTTAGATCCTCTCAGGATGCATTTTGCTCATATTGTGAGCATGCAGAGCTCTGGTTAACCTCAAAGCAAATCTACTAGAGCGGCCTGTGCCTATTTAACGAACTCACCTAGCTTAGACCCTTGTAGATGTTCATACAACCCCAGTTTCTTCTGTAGCTCTCTACCAGTTTTCTGTGTCTATCTTCTCAGATGTTTCAGAAGCAGATCCTCCTAATCTAGTTAGCCGCTAAGCCAGGTTGGTGTTACTGATCCTCCTGTAGAACAGATTTATGCGCACCTGACTCAATCTGCATTTTAGACGATAGTTTCCTTTCTGAATCAAGCATTAGTCAGTATGACTGTTGAAAGCTGTACTACTTCACCAACTCGGGATTTCTACTATGCAGGTCCCCTGCTTATATATCATTTGTGTGTACATATCATCCTGTGATTAACTGCTGTCACACTAATGTTTTTTTCCTATCAAAATTTATTCGTGTGCGCATATCATCCTGTGATTAACTGCTGCCACACTACCAATGTCCGATTGACTTAGTGCAACTTAACTTACAGAGTTACAACCCCAGAAATGAACAGAGTTTACCGTATGTTGGGTACAAAGGTCTGGGTAATTATTCAAATTCGTCGATAGTGGGATTTGAACCCTAGACCTCTTGCATGGCAGTCTGGCAACCTAACCACTACACTAAGATCGCTAGACCTTCTAATAAATTTTGTAATATAAGTATTTATATATTGTATAATATAGTTTTTAAAATTATTTATAAAATGTAATACTATGCTTAACTACAAACAAGTCACATAAGTGCTTATATACTCTTTTTAAAAAGATATACATATTTTGTCTAACTAATATTACCTACCTTTAAAAATATCTGTTTAGAAGGCAATGAAGTTAACTAAATAGTAAGAAAATTTTTAGCTATTCATGATATATTAAGAAAACAAAAACTATTAAGTTTCTACTATTATAAAGAATTAGTATTTATAGATAATATAGCTTTACTTAAATATTGTATAAATATATCTGATGCATTTATTAAAATATTAAATTATTGTTATTTTTGAGCAACTTATTCTATATATATAGTAGAGCTTGATATATTTTTAATAGTAAATAGATTATTTAATATAAGAAATTTAGTTTGAAGAATTTAATTAAAAAAGTTTTAGTTTTCTTGAGTATTCAAGTCAACTAGTATTAACTCTAGTTTAATTTGAGAATTAAGAACAGAAGCAATAAAAACAGCCTTATCAATAATATGATCCAAATATTTTTTAATTTTTTTTAACATATGAGTTACTGCAACTTTAAGAAATATAGAGCTTATTAAACTCTGAATACATGATGAAATTATATTAATAAGATTATCTATTAATAAATTAGAAAAACCTAATATTATATAATACTATCTAAAATTGTATTTGTAGTTTTATAAAATAGTTTTAAAAATAAAGTTATAGCATGAAAATTAAATCTTCTTATTATATAAGTTTGTACTAGACAAGATTATTATGATAACTTATAACTATTGAATTGTTATAGGTATAAATATATAAATAAAAACATTTGGTATATACTATACTACTATTTTGATATGTTCTAAGAAATTTTATAAATAGTTTTAATTTTATTAACAGACTATTTAATTTTTTTAAAATCTTGTATAATTATAGATAATGACAAAATAGCATTAACAAATTTGCATACTTTATTAATTAATTTATTAATTAGTATTAGTCCTATAGTAATATAAGATACAAAAATATATAAGATAATAATATAAATAAAAATATAAATTATATATTAAGAAATATAAACTAAATAAACGAGTTGCTAGAATTATATTTGAGCTGCTATTTGTTGTTATACTAAATAATTTTATAGATATATTTTAAGTTTTTAAAATAGTTTGTAACTGTGTTTTAATATCCTTTCTAGTATATAAAAATGAAAGCATACAAATATTAATTAAAATCTTTTGAAAATTCAAATTTCTATCAATTCAATAATAGTAACAGCAAGAAAAAGTATATTTGTGCAAGATATCTAAATATCTAATATAATTGAAATTCTGCTAGAAATTTGCTTAAAACTCTGAACATCTTTTTGTATTAGAATAAAAGAGCTTTACACAATTGATTTTATAGTATCATGTAAAGGTATTTCAATACATGCATTAATATATTGTAATAAAGTAATTAATACTTTACTATTAATAGCTAAAAAAGGTAAAGAATTAGAAACAATCTATTCAGTTACTAAAAGATTAAAATATTCTTTTTAATCAGGTATCAAACATTGTACTAAAATTAAATAATTTTGTATTTTTTATTTAAATTCCAACTTGGATGCTGTGCATCAAGGTGTTTATATAAAGTTTCTATAGTTGTTTTCTTGCTAAATAGATTTTTATAAATAATACAAATAACTATTTCATCATCATCTATTTTTTTAATAAAATATAATCTAACCACTGATATTCTTTTGCTTTTTCTTTTAACTGCAAATACAGAAGTTGCATTTGCACTAGTAAATTTTGTATTATTATTAGAAGTAACTTGAAGAGCTTCTTGAGAATTTGAAAGATCTATATAAAAAATTATTTTAAAGATAAAAACTAAAAATTCTCTTTATTTATTAATTTATATAATGATGTATATAGATTTAGAAGACATTATAAAAATATTACTACATATTAATAGTTTAATTTTAAAATAAAGCATAGCAAAAAATTTAATAGTATAATAGTCTATAATATTTTATATTTTAGTAATTTTAATTGGCTTATAGCTCTAAATCAGCTTATATCATACAAAGTTAAGCTGCTAGTTAGCTGAGCTATTAGTTAGCTAAATAGTAAATTAATTAGCTTAACTGATAAGCTTATAGCTTAGCTGAGCCATTTTGTATCTCTAAGAACATCTACTAAAAAAAGTATTTTTTTCTTAATCTATCTTTTATATTGATAATTCTATTATTATATTTATAATAATATCTATTGTATAAACTGAAATTAAATAATATTTTCAAGCATAAAACATATAGTATTTATTTTGAAACAGATATATAAAAGCAAGATAATATTATCAATAAACTAACTAATGATACTAACAATATTGGTGTAATACTAATTTTGTAAAGAATCTTAGTTTTGATTGTCACATAAGTACTACTTAAGCCAATATCTAAAAAAATATCTACATTATGAACTGTATAAATAAATGTAAAAAAAAAATATTAAAACAAAAAAATTATATAAATTAAACATACTCAATATTGGACTACTAAAGTATACACTTATAACTATTATAGGGTATCCAGTTTTTGCAATAGTAATATTTTGTCTTTTAAAATAAAAAATATATTAATTAATTATGTTAAATTGTTTGGCATAATCTACAATTATTTTAGTGATTATTTCAACTATATCAAAATATCATTAGGCCAAGAATTGCACTACTTAGTCCTATAATTAAATCTATAGCCTAGATCAAAAAATATAGAATCAAGTTATTGAACTTAGATTATATGTATATATTATTTTATAATACAATATCTACCTATAATATACTAACAACTTCATTAGCTATAAAGCTTAACATTGAATAAAACTTTAGTTGTTGATCATTGCTTGTATTAATAATAAAAAATATAGATAATAAGTTACTAATAATAAATGTATAAAGTATGAAAATAGATAAATTATTATCTGTAATTCAATAATTTATAATAATAGTTAAATACGATAATTAGTATAGTTTCTTAAATCAAAAGAAATAATGCTTACTGAATAAAACTATTAAAATAAACAGGAGTATAAGAAAAAATTAATGGACCACCTCCTGTAAGAATTGTAATTGTTTTATTCACTTATTAGCATTGTTCTACTTTGTTTAAATTGTCACAAGAGTATCATATTACTACTATTTAACTTAAGAGAATTAATACTAAAACAAATTAAAAATTTATTGTAAGTAATATCTATAACAGTTAAAATAATAATTAGAAATGCAAAAACAATAACATATTAATCTGTTCATATTATACCTCTATTACTCTTAATTGATACTTTCATAGGTCTTGTATAGAGATATATGAATGCATATTTTTTTAGCTCTGCATTACATAATATAGCATAGTTTGGCTTGTTTTGTTTATCTTTTTATTTTTGTTCCTTTCTCTTGTTTTCCTTATTTTGCTAGCTTTCTTGTTTTTCAGTGATATTTCTTCCTCTTTCTCCTAATTATTCATATCTGTACATCTTAGAATCCAGACTTCTAAGTATACGTGTTCTATCTAGAGATTCCAGAATATGCATTAAAATTTTATAGTAGATTTCTCTGTACTAATTACTTCCTTTAATTCTCTAGCAATATTTTCATTTAGGATTCCTCACAGCCATTCGACATTTTGGGTTTGTTTTACTTTTTCAGATGTCTTTGTCATGATCTGCATTAACTTGTAGAGATCCTAACTTTCTTCTCTTCTCTTATCACTTTGCATATTTTTCTAAACTTCTTTGCTTATTATTGCTAGTGCCTCTTGTGCCTTTTCATAGCAGATAATGTACTTGTCTGATTCTGGCTCAATAAAACACCTTTTACATATACTGTCATTGTATATATTTGGTTTTCTATTATTTAATACTTTGATAGTAGAGAGCAGATTTTCAATATACTTTACTTTAAATATACGTAAATAATTTGCTTTTATACTTCTATTCTGCTACTTATAACAACTTCTTAACAAGCTTTTGAATGCTTTCTAATTTTGATTTTTGAGACAATACTGATACCAGATATCATTTTTTTCTTTAACCAAGTCTATTCTGCCTTGTATGTTGTTTGAACTAAATTCTTAACAAATGTTCTTAGTGGTGTATCTAATTTGCAACTTTCTCACTCTAGAATGAACTTAATATTTTTAATACTGATATTATTGACTTCTAGTAGTGTATCTCTATTTGTACTTTCTTTTGCTAGCTAATCTGCTATATCATTATATAGATCACCTGAGTGCACTTTTACTTTAGTTAGCCCTAGTTATATTCTCTTGCTTCTGCAAGCTTTGACTATTGCTCGTAAAAGGCTATTGTTTTTTGTTTTAAGCTAGCATCATATACTTTCATTCTTCAGGCTTTCTGTTATTACTAATATTGCATATATGCTATCTGTGTATATTTCTACACTGCATTTATTTGGTGCTATTAATATTGCTATTAAACATGCTGCTAACTCCACTCAAGTTAATGAGAACCAGTTTCTAATTTTACTCTTGTAACTACATACTACTTTATTTTACTTATCTATTTGTACTATACTATATTCTATTTTTTGCTGTGCGTCCTCTTTTTGCAATGACCCATCAGTATATACTACTATCTTTTTTCTCTTTATATTTTTTTTGAGACTATTACCTAGTTCTGCTTTGATACTTTTTTCATTAATTACCTGCTTTATTAATTCTACACCCCAATTGTCTTCTACTATTACTTTCTTAAGACCTATGAGCTCTTTTACTTCATTATACCTTACTGTCCTCTTTTCTTTTTCATTTCTTCTAAGTAGCTCCTTCTTGTTTGCTATTATATATATATCATTTAATTTCTTTTGAATTAAATTTGAGATATCTTGCACTTCCTTTAACTCTACTCATCTTCTAATATCTTCTTTCTTCAGTATTTTAAAATCTTCTTTATACTCTTCTGTTTGTTGTATTTTATTTTCTTTATTTTCTTCCCATACTTCTATTTCTGCTGTTTTTTTACTTTTCCTCATAATATGTCTAAATTCTCTTTTTTTACCTAAATCTGTCTCAAACAAGATCCACTCTCTTTTTCTTTTGTCTTTAGATACCTTTTCTCTCTCATACTCAATTTGTAAGCTTTCTTCTTCTTTAAACTCCTCTTTAATTCTTCTTGAACATATGTCTTCAATTACTTCTTTTTCTAATATTGCAAACTATTTAGCTTTTTTCCCTACACGTTTCTTCTTTAGTACTTTAAATTGTTTCTAAGTTATTATATATTCTTTTCTATGATCAAGAAGCTAATTTAAATGCCAAATATTTAGCCTGCTAGCTTCGACTATGCTCTTTTCCTTTTTAACTTTTCTGAGAATATTTTCTACTAGCAAATCTTTTTTTCTATTTGATCCTAAAATGTTCTAGCTTTCTGTGTCTATACTGTTGAAGACTATAAATCCAAGTTTCTTAGCAAAATATAATGTTTTAGCACCTGGATTTTTAATACTAGAGCCTTTCTAATTGTTGTTTTGTGCTGATAAAATATACTCAACTGAGTTTATATTTAATTAATATTGTTTGAGTCACATATTAGTTGTATTACCTAAAAGGCTATTTGAATTTATATGTATGAATAACTCAGATATATGATGCTCTATATGCTTCTGCTATAAACTTATAATTCCAAAGATTTCTCTGTGTAGGATTGTTGCATTTGCACATGTAACTAGTAATTCAGCTTTTTGCTTTAATAGTCTAAGAAATGGTTAGTGTATTGCATTATATTTCTTTTGCTCTATTAATGTATTTGATAGAATATACTCTAATTTAGGTAATAATACTATATTGTTTATATATACTATCTGATTAACTGATAGTTTTTTCATTTTTAACATGCTTGTTATACTGCCTACTACTTTTTTGCATTGGCTTATACTTGCTTTTTCTTGGTTTTTAAGATTAATCTAAACTTCTAAGAATCTTGTACTTTCTCCTATTTTTTTAATTCAATATACTCTGGTAATGTTTCTATCTATATACCATTTGATACTTTAGATTTTATACCCAGTCTCTATGCAATTATTTCAGATTTTGCTCCATTGATCTCTATATAATTTAGCTTAAAGAACTCATTAGATATATTTACAATGTTCTGCAGTGAGTCTTTAGATGATATGACTTATGTAGTATTATCTGTGTAGGCTAGTACTTAAACTTCAATAGTTTCCTTCTTTATAATATTTTTACTTATATCTAATGGCCAATTCAGATACATTTGATATCCTAGTTTTGCTTGTTATATACGTACTAGTAGTAGATCATAAAAAATTCTCCACATCAGAGCTGAGATAACTTTTTCTTAGTCTATCTCATCCTTGCTGTAAAGAAACTCATTAGTTCACTATCTGTGATTACTCTGATTTTATGATCTTTATATAGATGCTTAATGAACATGATCAGCTTTTCAGGGAACTTTATCTTTTTTATAGCAAGTTTAAGTACTATCATGCTAACTGAATCAAATACTTTTCTCATATCTTGGAATGCTATCTAAAGCTCGCTATTTTTTTGTTTAGCATCTTTGATTACATTATTTAAGATATGTATTGGGCCATTGTGCTTTCTTAAGGTAGTCCCACAAAGTTTGCACCTTTGAGTATATTCCTTTAACTTATTATTTTGCACAGTCTTTTCTAGACAATTCTTACTACTAGCTTCCTAAACATTTCAAGTAACATAATAGGTCATGTAGCTGCTAGGTTATATTCTCAGTTGATATTCTTTGAAATTAGGTAGATTTGACCAAGTTTCTACTTCTTTGAAAACTTTTCTTCTAGGATAACTCTGTTTGCAAACTCTATCAGTCGTCTTTTGCTTTCATTGTTTACATTTTTGATTAACTTGTAGCTAATGCCTGATATTCCTAATGCAGTATCTTTTTATAGTATGTTTATTACTTTATTCCATTCTTTTTCTGTAATTTCTTCTATGACTAGTTTGTACCACTCTTTTCTGATACTATCTTGCTCTTTGTATATTTCCTTCCGCTTGTTATCTATTTCATTGAATTTGTGTTCTCTTTGTCTAAACTGGTTCTGGAAATGTCTCACTACTTCATCCTTGATCTCTTCTTTTTCTGTTTTTAATATTGCATTTACGAACTTTTCTTTACTATTAACTAATACTTTGTCTAAAACAATTTTGCTATTTTGTTATTCTAATAAACTATTAAGTATTTTCTTTAGGTTTGCTATATCTATTGCAAATCTTCTCTCAATATATTCACTAATTTCTTTCTCTTTCTCTACTTTAATTTCTCTTCTTGCTCTTTCTCTTAGTATATTCCACCATTCTTTAATTTCTAAGTACTATTCTTTTTCCCATTTACTTTGTAGCTCAGATATTTGTATATTGTATTCACTGTTTAAATGTCTAATTTGTGCATTATAAAGTATTTCATCTATTTCTTCTATACCTTTCTTCAGGCTACTCATCCTCTTTCTAAATAATTTTCTGAGTATCTTTGCTCTGCTGTATATTAATGACTTTGATGTTTATTTTCAGATCTGGCTCTTTGTATTTTGTGTCTTTGTTGATAGAATATACTCGTTTGCTGCTACTGTAATTGCTTTTACTATTATATTCTAACTATTATCAATACTTTCCTTTTCTGCATTTTCTATTTTACTCTTTTGTTTTTCTTGCCTTCTTTCTGTATTTCAAAATACTCATTCTATCTTAAGACTATATACTTCCTAATCTTCCTTTGTGGCTTTGTTGTAATAATATATTTTTCTCATTTCCTTTTTTTCTTTTTGGTTTCTTAACTTATTTTTTTGAACAGATCTACACTATTTAT